TGGATTAAAAAAATCTACTTGAGTATAATTTTTAATAATATAATCAGGAGATAATGAATGTTTGAATGATCTGATGAAAACTATTCCTAAAGTATAAGAGCTAGAGTTCATGGAATGTCATTGGAAGTTTCACTTTCTTTAGATTGATCAGTTTATGTACTTATGACCTCCCATCACCTTAGCATGATTGTCTCATAAACACTAGTGAATTTATTTTTGTAACACCTGTGTGAGGAAGACTAATATTTATCTCCCTTTTCAAAAAGGAGAGCTGAGAAACAGAAAAATGGTGATGTACAGATGATCACACGTGGCAGAATTGACCCCAGATCTCTGAGTTCCAGTCCAGTACCTTAATTTTGATGAGCAAGAAGGGAGGAATGTCTCAGATTTGACCTTTCTGTCACAGTAATTTGGCCATCTATGTACCTATGGGTACTCGTATTAGTAATTATATATTATGTTTATATAGCATCTTGAATACTAAAAAAAATCTGGAGCAATATGCAAACTTTGCCTGTTTAGGAATCACTGCAGCCATCTCTGGGGTGGAATTGGCAATTACTTTATAACACCCTGCAATACTACATAACACTTCAGGAATACTGTATTAGATTGAAACTACTGGAGAAATTTAAATAGATTCACAGATTTTTCTTAAGGCCTTAAGGTTATAGTTATTCAAACTAGAATTTGATTAGGTTTAACTCTTATTTTATTTTCAGATGTAGCTATTTTACAACTGTTTTTATACCGTTAGAAGGCAGGCTGGAAATGGTATTGGTTAGTTTTGCTTGAATTGTTTTTTTCTGTTTGTACAATATGTATTTCTGTTTATATTATGTAGTAGAGCTTACATCGCTAATTAGTAATGGATGTATTAAATACATATCATCCTAATAAACTATCTTAAAAGAATGTAAAAATTGTAAAGTCAAGCTTTCAAAAAGTTAGGAAATGCCAGAATCAATGTTGTGTGTACAACCTTAATTTGCCCCCCTGTGTATATGCATATGTAATTAAAAACTGAATCATAATGCACAAGCATAAGGGAGATGAGTTAGGGTTGCATGGGCATTATTAATTCTAGCATTTCCTAACTTTTGAGAGCTTGATTTTGCAGTCTCATTCTTTCAATGTATTTTTTTGGAACTACTTTACTACATAAAAAAATGACTCGCAGCAGGGTCATCAGCAGGGCTGGGATCTTGGGACAGTTTTATACTGCTTGAGCTGAGTAATTCAAAGCAGTAGACTCCTGTTGTCTTCTATAGGCATGTCTACACTTTTGGAGGCATGTAGAGAACAGACACCACACATAAAGCTAGCCTGGGTATAAATAGTTTTGTAGACGGCGAGGCACCACTTGGGCAAGTAAAGTGCAAACATGCCAGAATCTTGTAGTACAGGGTACACGGTTCTCTACATGCCCAAGCAGCGCCTCCCACATCTATACTGCTATTTTAGCAAGATAGTGTCCCACTGCCTCCTTGCTGCTGGAGACTTTTCCTGCCACAGTGAAAGGTTCTGGTGGGGGCAGGAGGTGAAGGGGGAAGAAGCTCTGGCAGCTTCTGGATTCTTTCCCCGCTACAGGGAAAGGCTCTGGCAACAGGGAAAGACCCCAGCAGCTCCCTGCTGCTGGAGCCTTTCCCCACTGCCTCTCCCTTGCCAGAGCCTTTCCTTGCCTCAGTGAAAGGCTCCGGCAGCTGCGAACTGCTGGAGCCTTTCCCTGCTATTTCCCCCACCAGCTGCATGGAGCTATACACTGCTGTGGACGCACTGTGGACGCAACCTACATGCCACCACCAGGGTAGAAAAGGCCTAGGTGGACCAGCCACTAGATGAGGATGCAGACACACTTTGCTGGTGGGTTTCATAGATTTTGTTAGACAGCAAAGGAATGTTGAGAGTCAGAAATAATGGGTTCAATTCCAGGTTCTGTAGGGGGGTGTACCCTTGTGGTTACAGACCCTTCTCCTCCTGTCCTTTCAGCCTCTTCTTTCACCCCTTCTGCTCTTTTCCCACCGCCTCCATTTCCTGTCCATCTTCTCCCCCTGAGTCCTGTGCCCTGCCAGCCCTTCTGTACTCCCTCCCCCTCAGCTCCTGCTCCTGTCCCAAGCTTCTGCCCCTGTGTCCCTCCCTTCCAGCTCGGGAAACTTCCCCCCTTGTGCCTTATATTTCTGCCTTTGAGGGGGAGCATTGAGAGTCAAAGAGAGACAGTCTCTCAGTTCCTGTTGTTACCCAGGGTTCTCAGAACCCAAAGCAGTGGTAAATTAACTGTTTCACTGCAGGTGGTATCAGGAATAAATCAATGGGAACACAGCACTTCCAGCTGAATAAAGATTAATGCAAGTAAGCGTGCTCATATCTAAAACTACTGTTTGTTAGATTTAAGTACACACAGACATAGCAATAGGTTAGAACGTTCCAAATAATTACCTAGAATCTGAGATGGTATGGAGTAATAAGCAGCATGTCAGCGATGGCCGGTTGCTTCCCCACCAGGGAGTATGGTGTCAGGAAAAAAATCTCAAGCTAGCTTCAGAGAACTGCTCCAAAGCACACTCTATTGTCTAGTCTTTTTAGAACTAATTTTTACAAAACACATCGCTCATAGTGACCCCTATTGGGTCATCTCTTCTCCAACTTCAATACACTATTTATTAACAAAACATTTCTAACAATCTTATGCTATGTCTACACTACGCAGCTTTTAGCGACACAGCTATGCTGCTACAGCCGTGCTGCTAAAAGGCGCGCAGTGTAGCTGCTGTTTGTCAGCAGGAGAGCTCTCCTTCCACCCCAACGAGCGGCAGTAGCTTTATTTGCAGGAGAATGCTCCTGTTGACAAAGCGCTGTTCACACCGGCGCTTTTCCTCGACAAAACTTTTGTCTTTCGGGGTGTGGTTTTTTTTTAACACCTCTGCCAGTGTAGACAAAGCCGTAGTCATAATAAGCTTCTATATCAAAGGCGCCCAAACTCAAGATCTCCATCCACTTATTTTCCTTCAGTCTCAATTTGTTGACCCTTTTCTCACCTTCTCCCATTCTGATTAGCAGAAACTGCAAGCCTGCAGCTAGCATTTGACCGTGCCTCCAGAAGCTCTGCTTGTTCAAATTAACCCTTAACTATGTGGGGTTCTAGTTTATTAATTCATGGTGGCTGAATGCACACAATATGGTTGCAATTAGCTTGTTCAAATTCTGGGATAACACACCCCTCCATTCCGGGGCAGCACTGTGCCAAGCGCCACAGTGGCCCCTGGAGGCTGGAAGAACAGTTATAGGAAAAGTCCTGCTCAACTCCTGCAGCCCTACGATGAAGCATGCTCTATGAGGATGGTGCATAGGAGCTATGAGCTAAGTTCTCTGTAAGCTGTGTGGCCATGCAGTAGCCTGTTTAGCACCGTGCAGGCACTTAGGGAACCCACCCAGGGCCCGGCCAGGGACGGACGCCCCGGCCCCAACCCAGCCCGGTCCCCAACCTGCTGCGGCCCGGAGGGGGGCCTGGCCTGGCCCCGGCCGGAACAGTTCAGCCCAAACCCAGGTGTGGCCGGGGTGCCCCTCCCCCGGACTGAACCCAGCCCCGGCCCGGACCCGCTGGGGAAGGGGCGCCTATCCTGCATCCTCAGCCCCGGAGCTGCTGCGGCGCTGAGAGGCGACTCTCTCCCCCAGCCCAGGTGCTGCTGCGGGGACAGAGAGCTGGGGGGAGTCCTCTCTCTCTCTGCCATATCCCCGGAGCACCCTCCTGCACCCCAAACCCCTCATCCCCAGCCCACACCCCCAGCTGGAGCCCTCACACCCCTGCATCCCAACCCTCTGCCCCAGCCCTAAGCGCCCTCCCACACTCCAAACCCCTCGGCCCCACCCCAAGCATATGAATTTTGTTAAGTGCACCAATATAGAGGTGATGTGTCACACATCACCTTCATATTGGTGCACATAACAAAATTCATTCTGCACATGGGTGGGAAAATTTAGAGGGAATACTGGCTGTGAGTGAATGGAACATGCACAATGCAGACAGAGTCTTTAGAAAATTTACTCTAACAAGTCTCTGCTGAGCATTTGCAAACTGCACTTTTTCAGAAGCTTGTAACTTGGGCAAATTTTCATCAGGATGGCAAAAGATATATCTCTGAGAGCGGGGCAACCCATCTGCCAAATTTCAAGTCTCTGTTTCAAAGCATGGAGGCACTGTAGCTTCTCATTGAAACAATTGTCAGATTTTTTTTTTAACGTGACAAAACAGCATATTTTCCCCTAATCTCATTTTTAGACACAGCAGAACCATTTTAGTTGAAACTTTCCCAAAAAATTCAGCCTGAGGCAGACAGGGAGCATGGAAGATTTCAGCTAAAACAGTTGAAGTTTGGCAAAGTTATAAACAACTGAAAACAGGGACATATAATGGAAAATATTGGACAACCTTGACTATAGGTGTCACTACTTCCATTGCCTATAGCCAACAACATGAGTTTAGTTTATGATGTAAGCCTTTAAAGCCCCTTTAACCCACAATGAGTAGATAAAAACAAAATCATCACGAACTTATATATTTTTAATATTAAATTATATAATATAGATGTTAAAGTATCTTTGGCCCAAACTACCAATAAATATTTGTCAATTTCTTCCATTTTATAGAATACATTTCCTTTAGATTTGTACATAAGCACCTAACTAGGGTTCTAGGTGGCTGTCCACCACCAATGCACTCCCTAATGATTTCAGGGTAACCCTGCAAGCAGCTCTTGCTTCGTTTTCCCTCTTCTGGTGTCACCACTTTTCAGGGGCTGATCTCCTGTCCACATTTTTCCACCATATGTGATAAAGAGGGGTTCTACCTGGGTTGCCCTTCTATGTCAGGCTGTGGCATGCCCAGTGTGCCTGCCTCAGTTTCCCCTTCAGCGGTTCCCAATAACTCAGTACAGCTTAGTATATAAATCGCCCTTTGCAGGGTTAATTTATTATAAAAGTCCCACAACCACAGTCCAGAACCCCCAGCACAATCCAAAAGTACATCACCGTCAACAGTCCCCAGCATTTCATCGACAATCCAAGTACAACTCCAGCACCTTTCACAACAGTCTGCAGCTCTCTTGTACAGCTCGAGCATCCCTCGCCAAGCTGCACCGTTCAGGGACCACATGTTACCCAAGCTGAGATACAATTCCAGCTCTTGTCTGGAGACATCAGTGGGCCCTGGCCTGCAACCCTCTTTGGCCCTTTGGCTTCAGCTCTCTGGCAGGCATCTCCATCTGCTGCTCTCAGCCTTCAACTCTCTCTAGCCCTTTCTGGTCAGGGCTCTCTAGCCTGGGGAAGTTTGTAGGTAATTCCCCCTCCCCCGTTCTGCTTTCTTGCCTTCTGCTTTCACTAGCCTGATTTGACTTCACTGCTCAACTAGGCCATCTCACTACCCCTTCCTTCAGGGGCATCCCCCTTCCTGAAGCTGTCAACCCAGCTCTGCTCTTCCTCTAAGCTCTCTCTGGACTCAGGGTTCTGAACACCCTTTTGGCTTTGGTCTGTCTTTTATTTATAACAACTCCCGAGGCAGCCCCACCCTCCTCATATTATCAAACGAGGACATGCTTGGACTGAAACAGGAGAACTGGGCCTGATTTAATTCAAGGGGTGAACTACCCTGTTAAAGTGCCCCTGCTATAGATTACACAAAAAATGAATTTAGCAGCCTCAGGTCATGAAGAAGAAAAGATAAGACACAAATTATATTAGTAAATGCTGTTATTTTGAACCTTCATGTAAAAAAGTTGTAAATAACTTCATGTTCTTTTTCAAGTGATTGTCCCTATTATATTCCACTGTGGGTTATGCATGTGCAGCATCAGCCTGGAGCCAGAAATTTTGCAAGTAGTGATGGTTGTTCCACATGTGAGCCTGGCTCACCTCGTGCCTCCGATGGAGGGGTAAAGGGAAAGGCAGACTGTTCGCTTCTCCAGTTCCTTCTCGTCACCTCATGGTCCAGGTCAGAACCCTTAGTGTCTGCAGCTTCGACTTCACCTACAAACAATAAAGAACCTTATTGTAAATAGTTATCAGTCTTAATCGTTTATAGTTTTAGCCGTTTTAACAGTAGTTTTAGCATTAGATTAGACTTCATCAGGGTAACCCTAAATTCTGTCACCACAGGGGTGTACCTGCTCATGGACAGATTTCAGACCATGAACAATATCATAGCTCACATCACACGCAACCTTCAGGTACCGGTCAAAACACGTCTGTCCCTACTAGGTCACATGACCTGTGCACTTATATCACCCTGTTCTCAAGTCTCCACTGTTGTTGCCTTCAAACTTGGCTATAGTCAGTATACTCCCCAAGGCATCATTCCATGAACCCCATGGTACAGTTCCAGCCAAGGTACTGTCCTCCCTGTTATGGTGGACAAATTCCTCATCAGGATGTGTGGGGGTCCCCTTTCTCTCCAGACAGGATCATTGTTACAGACACATCCCAACTAGGTTGGGGAGAGCACAGGAACAACCACAGAGCACATGGGACTTGGACATCTCGAGAGGCCAGGATGCACATCAATATCCTGGAACTACGGACAGTATGGAAGGTGTGCAAGTCTTTTTTTCCATCCGCGCTCACCATGTCCTTATGTCAGACAACATTACAATTGTCTTCTACATCAACAAGCAAGGGGAAGCGAGGTCTGCCTCCCTGGGTGCAGAGGCAGTCAGCCCCTGGAACTGGTGCTTCAGCACCCTATGAGCAGCCTACCTTCCGGGAAAGCAGAATATGCTTGCAGACTCCTTCAGCAGACATTTTGCACTTGACCATGAGTGGGAGCTTCATGATGCAGTACTCCGCAACATTTTTACTCTATGGGGAACCCCAGCCAGGGATCTACTTGCTTCTCAAGCAAACAGCAAATGCACCACATATTGCTTCAGAGGAGCCCATGGTCATCACTGCCAGGACGATGCTCTGCTTTTTACTTGGTCAGACCATTTCAACTATGCGTTCCCACTGCTACCGCTCCTGCCATGAGTCGTATGCAAGATCCAGCAGGACAGAGAGAGGGTCATCCTGATCGCCCCCTTCTGGCCCAGACAGTTCTGATTTCCCAACCTCCTAGCATGTCATCCTGCCAACTAATCATCCTTCCAAAGTTCCCCGAGCTACTTACCCAGTGGAACAGCAAGATCCATGTGGAAATTGAAAGTGGAACACCCCAATCCATGGCAGCTCCACCTCAGGGCCTGACATTTGGATGGGGAGCATCCTTAGAATGTTCTTGCTCTTCAGCTGTATGAGACATTCTCTCTAATAGTAGAAAGGAGTCTTCTAGAAAACGTTACCTAGCTAAATGGAAATGCTTTTCGTCTTGGACACAACAAAGAGGCCTTCTGCCAGAAACTATGGATATTCCTCTCATCTTAGACTATATCCTATGCATGAAAACATCAGGTTTATCCATCAGCACTTAGGAATCCAGTTGGCGGTGATCATGCATGCCATCCACCTTCTCAAGGGTACTCAGTTTTTGCACACCCACTGACTATAAGATTCTGGAAAGGTTTAATAAGAACTTTCCCACCTGTTCAGAAGCGCCCCAGTGGGATCTGAATCTCATTCTCTCAGTGCTAACAAGGCTCCCCTTTGAGCCTTTAGCTACTTGTTCCATGTCCCTCCTTTCCATCAAAGTCATCTTTCTCGTAGCTATCACATCAGCGAGAAGGTTGGTGAACTTGGAGCAATGATGGCAGAACCTCCATACACAGTATCCCATAAGGATAAGGTTTCTTTACATCTACACCCCAAATTAATCCCTAACATAGTTTTGGAATTTTACCTTAACCAATCCATTCACTTACCTGTGTTCTTCCTGAAACCACATTCTTCTGCAGAAGAATGAAGACTCCACTCTCTTGATGTTCGATGAACGTTGTTTTTTTTACCTGCAGGGAACACAACCAATCCCTGAGACTGTTTGTTACTGTAGCAGAAGGAGTCAGGGCATGCCATCTTCACCCAGAGAATCTCCAAATGGATATCTGGTTGCATTCTACTCCTGCTGTCAGCGCTCAAAAGTCCTCCTGGACATTTGCAAAGTGGCCTCATGGAGTTCCATTCACACATTTGCAAGGGATTATGCCCTGTTGCAGGACTCTTCTGCTGATCCTCCTTTGGGATGTCAGTACTCATCCTCGCACCCTCCTCCTATTTAGGTACTGCTTGTCAATCACCCACAGTGGAATACAGTAGGGACCATCACTCAAAGAGGAGGAGGAGGCGGTTACTTACCTGTAACTGGAGGTTCTTTGAGATGTGTATCTGTATTCCACTACCTACCCTCCTTCCCCTCTGCTTTGGATCTTATCTGATTCACGGTAGAAAAGGAACTGGAAAAGCGATTGGTTCGCCCTGCCCTTTATCCCCTCAGTCGGAGGCATGAGCTGAGTCAGGGCATGTACGCAGATCAAAGTACGCTACTTTTGAATTCCCCAGCCCCAGAGTATAGATAGGGACCACATGTCTTGAAGACCCTCCAGTTACAGATAAATAACCTCCTCTTTTGGTGAATGGGTGGGAAGAGATAAAGTGGATTAAAGTCTTATAGAATGTTTTCATTATTTCTTTGCCTTAACCTTTCTGTATACATTGTTTTACAACTAAATGTGATTTTATTGTAAATATTAATATGAGGACACATAAAGCTAGACCCTGAGTTGTAATGCTTCTGTTACTTGATACACACAAGATTATAAATGGTCAACTTTTATAAATTTGTGTTACTGTTTCTGTGAGCCTTCATTAAATTCTGGAGAACACTTAAGTATTTATTCCAATCTTTGAAAAATCTTAACTCCTTTTACTCTTTGATATAATAGTTGGCAAATTTGGTGCTGGTTAAAAGCTCCAGATTGACATCTGTGGAAAATGAAGCCCTATGTTTGTCAACAGTTATAGAAAGTACAACATAACTAGCAGCAGCACAAATCATTCTAATGCAGTTCAACCTTGTTCTGTTGAAAGGCCCTGCCAATTCATCACTTTGCTGCCTGTTGAGTCTACTAAAAAGCATGTAGGTAATGATACTTTTTGTTACATGATCTCTCTACTAGGAATGGAAATGAGACTACCCAATTGCTAGCATTTTTTTGTAACTTTGGTCACTGTTTATTTACTTGGGTTGGATTTGAAGTGGCCTACGGGTGAAAAGCTCAGAATCATATCACTGTGACCATGAACCATCCACTTCCCTACTGGTATCTTTTCCTAAATCCTCAGAGCAGTTGTTGTTTTGCAGTACCTAAACATCTACATAGTATAGGTAATTTCATCTGTCTACTCAGCAGTTGGAGTTAGCTGAGCACTAAAGAAATTTCTGAGAAAAAAACAACCAAGTGATGGGTATTTTATAACTAACTCCTATGTCGTAAATATGTTTAGGACATAAACATCAGTCTCTTATGATAACTGCAGGTATGGTAGTCCAGAAGATCAGCTTTCTATTCCTTTGGTAAATTGTGATAGCCTAACACACATCTAATGCACAGTCTCTACTATGATTTATACTTCGGTGCAAAGCGTGACACCAAGTTAGCTCTATTGCCCAAAAATGCAGTATTCTTTAAATTAAGGGAGATACATATTGAGTGAAAAACTAAGCACAGTGCATCAGACTAACATTTATAAATATATAACTGTGGGGGATTCATACTTTCAAGCTTAATACAGAACCTCAGTAACCTAGTATTCTTGTTTTTCCTTTTATAGTTTTACATGTGGTACACATAAAAAATGAGGCTGAGAACGCGGAAGGCTTCTCAGCAGTCAAATCAAATTCACACCCAGCGTGCTTTGAGAGCAAAGAGGAAACATTCAGAGGTAGAAGAGAGCTTACCTGTTGGAGGAGGAAAACCACAGAAGAATGAAACCGGTCTGTTGTCATCAATCAAAAAATTTATTAAAGGAAGCACGCCCAAGGTATGAGCTCAGTGTTTCGTTGTTTTTTAAAAAAAAATTGAGTCATATTCGTTTTTTCTAAAATTTGATCAAGTATTGTATTAAGAAGAATAAGAATTTGTAAAAGCATGTTCTGTGGAGGCAGAACAGCTTTATAAACAATAGAATACAAAAATTGCCCCATAATAGTTGTGTGTGAATGCAGATATAGAAGTTAAATTGCAAAGTTGCTGACACTGTCCGGCTAACAGTTAGAACAATTACAGACGTTTATGATAGTGCCATAAGTTTGAGGATTTAGTATCAGGTGTTCCATTGGAGAAATAAGAAAAGTTGCCTTATAAATACAAGAGGCCAAATTCAGCTATAGTATAATCAGGTATAATTTCCGTGTGCCTCAGTGAATTTTGTATCTACTTATCGCACCTTAGACATGAAGTTTCAGGGCTAAATTACTTGAATCTTTTCAAACTCTATCTAGGCACAGATCTGAAGCACACAGATTTTCATATTAAAACCTGCTCAGTGCAAATTCTTAGGGGAAGATTATATACAGTACGTTACTTTTATTGAGTGAGTGCCACTTTGAAATAGTTTTCAAAATTGTTATTTTTATTGTTTTTTTTAAAAGATGCTCTGATTTTATAAAACCTTTCTTCAGTCAGTGTTATCAGTCAGAAGTTCTGATATTGCCATTTTAAAACCGTAGATATTAAAAAAAGAACAAGAGCCAGGATGCCAGAAACATACAAAAATGTTTCAGAGAAATACATGGCAGATAAATGAAGTTTAGATCAGAAAATAGTTTTTTAGTGTTAAAGTGAAGTGTTAAAAATGGCAGCTTTATAATTTTGCATTATAGTTAAAATAATATGTAAAGATGCAGTGAAGTTTAAAAAATTCTAATCAAATTGTCTCAGAAAGCTGGGTGACTAGGAAACAAAATGGCAGCTGAAATTCAGTGTTGATAAGTGTAAAGTAATGCACATTAGAAAACATAATCCCAACTATATATATAAAATGTTTGGTTCTAAATTAGCTGTTAACACTTGAGAAACAGATCTGGGAGTCATCGTGGATAGTTCTCTGAAAGCATCTGCTCATCTACAGCAGCAGTCAAAAAAGAGTGTTAGGAACCATTAGAAAAGAGAGAGATAGTGAGACAGAAAATATCATAATGCTACTATATAAATCCATGGTACCCCCACACCTTGTGTACTGCATGCAGTTCTGGTTGCCCCATCTCAGAAAAGATACATTAGAAATGGAAAAGGCACAGGAAGGGCATAAAAATGACTAGGGGTATGGAACAACTTCCATATGAGGCGAGATTAAAAAACCTGGGACCATTCATTTTAGGAAAGAGATGACTAAGTGGGGAAATGTTAGAGGTCTATAAAATCATGAGTGGTGTGGAGAAAGTGAATAAGGAAGTGTTGTTTACCCTTTCACATATCACAATAACCAGGGGTCACCCAATGAAATTAATCAGCAGCAGGTTTAAAACAAACATAAGGAAATACTTCTTCATACAATGCACAGTCAAACTGTGGAACTTTGTTTCCAGGTGATATTGTGAAGGCCAAAAGTATAACTGGCTTCAAAAAAGAATTACATAAGTTCCTGGAGGATAGGTCCATCAATGACTATTAGTCATGGTCTGGGTGTCCCTAAATCTCTTACTGCCAGAAATTGGGACTAGACCACAGGAAATGGATCACTTGAAACGGTCCAGTTCTTTCAATTCCCTATGAAGCATCTGGCACTGGCCAGGATACTGGGCTAATTGGACCATTGATTTCACCCAGTATAGCTATTCTTATGTTCTTAGATACCATGCAACTCAATGTGTTCTAGGAATTTGTTCAGCAGGATATAGGCACTGACTTAAAGGAATTGTAAAAATTATGTATATGTTAACATTTTTCTTTACCTGTGGAAAATTGTGTATTGTTAAAACTGTTTAAATTTTGCATATCACTAAACTCAGGCAATAAATTGATTTCACTTTCTGACTCCTATGCTCTAGCATAGGGATCTCAAACTCAAATCACCATGAGGGCCACATGAGGACTAGTACATTGGCCCGAGGGCCGCATTACTGAAATCTTTTCATACAAATATACAAAAGCCCCCCCTGCGCCTGGCCTTGCTCCCACTCCACCCCTTCCATGAGGCCATGCCCCTGCCCTGCCTCTTCCCACCCCATTCCCCGCCGCCATTCCAACCCCTTCCCCAAAGTCCCCGCCCCCTCACTGCCCCTATTCCAACCCCATCCCCGCCCCACCTCTTCTCCGCCTCCTCCCCTGGGCATGCTGCGTCCCCGCTCCTCCCCCCTCCCTCCTGGAAAGTCCTAAGCGCCACCAAACAGCTGTTTGGCGGCAGGAAGCACTGGGAGGTAGGCGGAGGAGAGGGGACGCGGCGCGCTGGCGGGGAGGCAGGGAAGGGGGAGCTTGGCTGCCTGCCGGTGGAGTCAGCACCTATGGCGGGCCACAGGAAATAACTCCGCAGGCCGCGTGTTTGAGACCCTTGCTCTAGCACAAAGCAAAATACTTTAGGTTGCAAACACTTCAGGGAAATGGTTAAGTCCAAACAAAAACAGTTTTCATTGGAATTTAAAAAATAAATGGGGAGATTTCTGATGATTTAGGTTTTGTAAAATCCCCCCCCATCCCTTTTTTAATCTTAAATTTTCATCCTAAATTTTATCTTCACAGCTTCCCTTTAAATATAAAATTCCATGTTTTTCATATATATTGTCTTTCTTGTCTTCTGTGTCCAGAACAGCACTTGTAGTGGTCCCAGTGGCATTAACATGCATGCTATTGAGTGATATTGCTGGGCTATACTGCAAAGCTCTCATGACAACACAAAGTAGTCTTGTGGTTACCATGGTAACATCAGAACTCTTTCAGGTGGTATGTGTGTTATATTATACAATAGTTCTGTTACCTGTATATTATAATATAAATTAAGAGATAGATTGTGTGGATCTGTGACAGTAAATGTATAACAACATATACTTTAAAATATACTAATTCTGACATCAGAGTCATAGGACATCACAGTGATGGCTTGTGGGGGTGGGTCTTTAAAACCCCCCCAAAAAGTTCAAGCTATTTACTTACATAAAAGTAACTAAAATATGGTCAATAAAATTATGATGACATTGGGCCTTATCTTATAAGCTACATAATGCTCTCAACTCCCATTTACGTCAATAGATAGAGTTAGTATGCCTGTTTTAAAGTTAATATCAGAGTTACAGCCCACCAGTCTGATATCATAGAGAAACTAATACAGATAAGGATGTAGTTTAGATCAGGTACCTTGCAGGACTGATCCCTGTTTAATAAGCATTTTTAACAGTTTGTAAGAAGTTTAACAAAGTGGGGTTTTTTAATGGTATACACATCCAGTGATATTTTTTAAAAAGTTTTAAAACTTGAAACATTACAACACATTGACTGAAGTAAGTTATACCAAACTTATTTAATTTGTGGGTTCTGGTAACATCATAAATTACACTATCTTTGCTTTTCTGACTTGCAGTGCATCCTCTCCTTTGGAATCATTGCAACCCATTCATTAACTTGCATTTTTATTCCATGGTTTCTGAAAAATCCAAAAAACAGACATCCTATTGATATCAATGTGACATTGCCATATTAGTTTCAGTATGATGCAATTAGTAATACTAATTGGATATATTTGGCGTATTGATTGTAAACAGAAATCTTTACGGTAGAAATTTGCTGATATAAAGCACATAGAACAATGACCTAATATTGTGCAATTTTATTCTTGACTGCTGTTGACAGACACTTAACTCCACTTTTATTGATTCTGATTTTGCCAGAACCCCTCTTGTTCATTGGCTTTTCTTTCCTTATTATATTTATTTGTATTGCTGCTTTTAGTCTTTTCTCTGGGTATTTTATTTTAATTCTTCTTCATCAAATAAATATCTTTTAGAAGTAGTGGAGTTTTCTTTTGGCTTTTCTTACAAGAAAAGGAAAGATGTCTCCACAGTTTGGATTTTAACTTTTTAGTGAACGTAATGCTCCTGAGAGATGCAAGATTGACAGTCCTGGAGACGGAAATCCTTTTTTTACAGAACAGTTACAGCAAGGGCAGCAGCAGTGGTAGCTTCCTCACACCACTGTGATCTATTCTTTTGGAGGGACCACCTCTAGGATGAAAGGGTAGTTCAGTCTCCATGCTCATTCAATTCTTTGCCTCTCTGCTGAGTCTATCAACAGGAATTCCAGTAGGTGCCAGTCATGATAGTGGTTTTTGTGATGATTCTGTATCTGTCCACTAGGAACTGGAATGAGAACACCAATGCTTTTCAGTTAGAACTGAACAGCCTTCAGGTGGTAATGGCTTTCTGTCATTCTTACCTGAGCTAAATTTGAACTAGTGACCTGGAAGGTAAAAGGCCTTAGTTTCCTTTTTCCAGTCCACTGAGCCATCTAGTTTCTCAATCTCTGCAGTTGTATTTCTCAAAGATTTAGAGTTTGCCTGTACATATACAGTACTGTCCATTGGAGAAAGCAGGAGATCACAGGAACTCCCAGTTATTTTCAGTGGGAGGCTTGTGGGACCAATGAAGTGCACACATTTTCTTCCTATGTTGATGTCTGTGTAGTACCCCTGTATTATAAAATAGTCTAAAACTGTTGTTTGGCATAATGAGACCATACCGCGACCCCTCTAAAATAACCTTGTGACCCCCTGCAACTCCTTTTGGGTCAAGACCCCCAATTTGAGAAATGCTGTCTCCCCCATGAAATCTGTATAGTATAGGGTAAAAGCAGGCAAAAGACCTGATTTCAGGGGGGGCAGATTTCACGGTCCGTCACATGTTTTTCAGGGCCGTGAATTTGGTAGGGCCCTATTAATGGGACAATTTGAACCTATTGAAAGAACGGGGGGGAAGGGAGGGAGGAAAAAACACACACACATGACAAAGAAAATGTACAAAAAGCTTTGCTTCCATGAGAGCCAAATAATGTATGAGTCATAAGAGGCCAAGTCACCTTACCCTAAGGTAACAAAAAACAGTGGAACATGACCCTTAACTTTTAACATTTTTGACTCCTATTTTTTTGTCATAGGCCCGGACACAGTTAGTTCTGAATATGTACTGTGAATAACTGTACAATTCTTGTATCATGAAGTATAGCAAGATTCTGTATTGTAGCAGACACTATATTTCATAATATTAAGTAACGATGGCCACAAATGAAGGATTTTATATTGGGTTTCGTTATGTACTTTGCTTCCTGTGTATGCTAGGATCCAAAGAAAGCAAGTCACAGTTAATTGTAGTCATCAGATTTATCTGTTAATTCAACCAGTATGGCATGCCATTTGTTTAATGTCATTACCCTTAATATTTACAGATCTGTTCTTCAGGGGAAAAAAAATCTGAAGAAAGTTTTTCTACAACAGAAATTGCATATACAGTTTTCTTTCCCAGTACTCCACTTTTTACATTAATTTCTGACATTTTGGGGGAGTTTGAAATTCCAGATATGTATATCTCCTCATTTCCAGGTGAGAAATGTGCAGTATATTTATATATAAATATATGCTGCACATTGCTCACCTGGAAGTGAGGATCAATAAAAGGACCTTTTGTAGAATTTTCTGGTGTATTCAGTGTGTATTTTTCCTTTTCTGTTTTAAGGAAGAAAGAGAAAATCCTGCAAAGAGAAGTAGAATTGAACGTGACATAGATAACAACTTGATTTCTTCCACTCCTCGAACAGGAGAAAAGCCTAACAAACAGATCTCTCGAGTAAGACGGAAAAGTCAAGTAAATGGAGGTTTGTAAATATTCCATTCCTATATTAATAGGACAGAGTTAGAGGGTCAAGCTCTAATACTTGTATGGTGACATATTAATACAGGGCTTGACTCTGCTCTGTTGGAGTAAATGCGAATTTTGCCATTAACGTCAGTGGGAACAGAGTTGGACCCACAGTATCTGAAATGTTCTTTCCTGGAGAGTAATTGTAAGTATACGGGGGGTGGATGAGACTGAGAAACAATCTGATGAATATGTTTTTTCTTTTTAAGAACCATTCAGTTATGGGAAAACCACCACATATCTTGGAACTACTTATCCATAGTATTCTCCACTTAGAAAGGCAAGAGGATACTTAGTGATGTGAAATTGCTCCTCTTCACAGTGTTTTACAAACAAGTGAAATGTCATTCCATAGCAGGTGGTTTGTATGAGAATCATTCCACTTTCCAGGTGCTGAAGGCACTTGGTCAAATAAGTGCAAGAAATGGAATTCTTTCACAAATGCATACACGGGCATGTATTATTCTGTGCTTATAGTAATGCCAATTTTAAAATGTAAAATTTACATTCATATTTTAACGTCCTTAGTCACCTCTGCTGTTCTAGCCCTAACCCACTCCATAAAGTCAGGCTTCCAACTTTAAACAGGGTTCCCACTGAACTCAGAACTTACAATCTCCCCCCCCCCTTTTTTTTTTATTGAAAAGCAAACCCAGAAGTATTTTGTTCTTTGGATTACTTAAAACATTTTAAAATCTTTTTAAAGGTTTGTTGAATAGCTTAGTGATCTGGTTGATAGATAGACTTTCTATTTTCAACTTGTGTGTTTATTGAGATAATTACATGACTTGGAATTCTTTGTCAGCTGATCAGACTGCAGCTTTCAAGCTATTTTCTAACTTGCCGTGACTTGTCTGGTACAGTAACAAAGGAATGTTCTATTTTCAGAGAATGTAGGGATTATTCAGTGCAAAATTTTCTTAATGAACTCATTATTTTACATCAATTGAGTACAAGTTCTTATATTTGACAAGAAAAATAGTTGTATAAAGAATAATGTGTTCTTAATTACCTAGTAAAGCAATAATTCCATCATTGGAAACTGGTGATAATGACCTAAACCATGAATCCTATCTTAGACCAGAATAGTCTGTTTGTCACTAGTATCCCAAAATGAAATTACTTTAATGGGTTTTGGATTGAGTTGATAATACATAGGTTGAGTAAAACAGTTTATTTTTGTAGTTGTGTTTCATCGTCCTTGTCCCTGTTCTTACTTCTTCCTCTTCTCCCCCACTTTTTTTGGTATCTCAGATTCCCTTTGTCCTCCTTCCTTCCTTCTTTCTCTCTCTCTCTCAGGACAGCTTGCATTGATGGCTGCGAGGTTGGCTGTGATCTGTTTATCAGCCATTCAGATGCAACATGGATTTACCTGTAGAAGTTTCTTAAAATGTGCTGTCATCTGTCCTTTGGTGAACAGATCAACTAAATGTCTGCTAGGGAATTATGATTTTTCCCTACCCCTTTCAAAGTGTCGGGTGATGGTGTTCTGATATTCAATGGCTGTACAAGAGGTCTTGTTTCCAAACAGAAAGACATACCTAGTTAAATGGAAATGCTTCTCATAGTGGAGTCATGTTCACCACTTGGACTCTTCTGTTCAGAATATAATGGACTACTTATTGTCTTTGAAACACTCAGGATTCTTATTTAGTTCTGTTAGAGTTCATCTAGTTGCTCTGTCAGCATATCTCCTGCTAGAGGCAGGTCATTTGATTTTCTCTGACCCAGTGTGTCTAAATTTTTTAATGGCCTGATTCATGCATTTCCAGCATTTAAAGAGCTTTTCTCTATCTGGGACTTGAATATAGGACTTGCATCTTTTGTGAACGCATGTCATAATGTTCTTTATATCACTTTTCTGTTAAGACAGTGTTTTTGATAGCCATCACATCAGCTCTCACAGTGACTGAAATACAGGCTGTGATGACTAGCCCGCCATATGCTGTGTTTCATAAGGACAGAGTCACTTTCAAGCTGGATCAGAAATGTTTACCAAATGGGGTTTTGGAATTCCATATGAACCAGTTCATATGCTTACCAATATTTTTTCCTAAACCTCATGACTTTCTTATAGAGGTTAAACTCCACATGCTGGATGTTTCTTTTTATTTATCCAGGTCAAAGCCATTCTCTAAATTGGCTAGACAGACTTGTTACCAAAAGTCACATATAAAGGGGCCAACTCTGTCATATCAGAGACTCTATATGGGTGGTGGATTGTGTTAAGATTTCCTGTTCATTAAACAAACTACCCCTTCCCTGTCGAGTCAGGGCACATTCAGTCAACATCTGTAGCTTGTTTCGGGGAGTCCCTGTTTTTGAGATTTGTTAGAACAGCTGCTAAGAATTTGGTTCATATATTTATCAATCGCTACTCGGCTGTGACAGTTTCTAGATTAGATGCCCTGTTGGGCAGAGGTGTCTCAGTAATTTAGATAAGACTCCTGTTTCCTTAAGGGGTAACTGCTAGTCAGTCACCTATAGTGGGATCCATGTGGACAAATGCTAAAAGCAGAGGTTATTTTTGTTACAGTAACTGGAGTTCTTCAAGATGCCTTTGTCCACATGGAACCCATGGTCTGCTCTACTTTCCAATTGGCATGGAATCCTTACATGGATATTAAATGGTGGTTGCAGCCTCTCCACCCTTAATACCCTTGCTGTAGGGGGTGTGAGGGCATCCAAGGCACATATGCAGCCCGACGGAGACTGCTGGCTAAAAGATTCCAAATTCGCATGTGTGAGGCGCACATACCTGCGGTGGAATCCGTGTACACAAAGGCATCTCAAAGAACTCCAGTTACTGTAAGGGTAAGTAACTATCTTTGTTTCAGCATCAGAATGACACCACTTTATTTTCTGGCTCTTATCCAAACCAGTTCTGAGCTGGCACTTTTCAGCTCTGGGATGCACATGATAATACACACACATTTATAAAAAGCCTTACTCACTTGTTAATTAAAACTGAGATTTGCTTAATTATGTTCCATGGCTGTTGGTATCTGTGGTTACGAAGAATAGTTCTAGTATTTTACTAGAGAATCAAAAATGGCATACAGAATTGCTAAGAACTTGATCCTGGGACGTGACAAACATACTCAATATCCATTGGAGTCCCGTTGACGCTGGAATCAGTGGGCACTGAAGGTGCCCAGCACCTTGCAGAAGGCACTCTGCACCTTGCAGGATTGATCGCTAAATGTTTAAATAAAGTATTTCATAAACCACTACTCATTAATTTTAACTTTTTTTTTCTTTTTATAATAACTGATTCTTGCTCATTTTGATTGCTTATTTAAAGTGCTGTATAAAACTGGTGTTATTTTTGATGGTGAGATATTTAATTTTCAGTAAGTGATGGTTCTTTTTTAGTAAAATTCATATGCCAGCTTATTTGACTGTGGAGTAGAATGAGGAAAATTCACTGTAGCTCATATAAAAAAAATTACAACAAGAAAAGAGCGCAAGTAGACATGAGGAACAAAATCAGTCCACTGCAGTTTTATATCTTTCTTTTTTTTCTTTTCTTTTACAGAAGCTGGAAGTTACGAAATGACAAACCAACATGTAAAGCAAAATGGAAAATTAGAAGATAATCCTGCCACTGGCAGTCCGCCCCGGACTACATTATTGGGGACCATATTTTCTCCTGTTTTCAATTTTTTCTCACCAGCAAATAAAAATGGTAATTATTATCTAAAGCTACATAATATATATTAACATAAAAGCTAAGTATGGTTCATAATTTTTTTTTGAAGTTGTTTAGACTGCTAATGGAACAGATGATCCTTCTTGTTGACCTGCAGAGCAAGAGCTACAGTTGCCATAAAGGAAACTCTATCTAACTATTAGAAGGGTTGCTTGAGCTATATAAGAAGAGGCATGGGCTTAGTTGCATTAAAATATTTGTTTCCTAGTTGTATATGTCTCACATTTCACTTTGATTTACAAGGTATAAGAAACTAATTTGGTATTTTTCACCCTATCTAAAATGGATTTCTCCCTCCACCCACCTTTGGTTTGTATTGTAATATCATGAATTAAATTAGGGACATCTTCAGTTATTCCAGAACACATTATCTCTGAATCTACGAATATTGATATTCTGTTAAGTAATTCAACATTAGGATAATGATTGTACTGAAACCTCATTTCAGGAACATCAGGATCAGATTCCCCTGGGCAAGCTGTTGAAGCTGAAGAAATAGTCAAACAACTTGATATGGAACAGGTGGATGAGATCACTACCAGTACTGCAACATCGACCAATGGAGCAGTTTACACTAGCCAAGCAGTGCAAGTCAGATCTACTATCAACAACGGTTTGGAAGAAGTGGAAGAAACAACTGATCGTGATCTACCACCACTTACAGGTAAGAAACTTGCATTTTCCTGGGACTCTTAAGTTAATTGTGCAATAATAAAAATGAGTTTGCACATTTGAGTAGAAGCTTTCTAAGAAAGCCCAGAGTGTTCCTGTATTTTATATAAACAAAGATTCCCCAAAGTGTTTACTTGCATGCCGATTTTCGTGAGCAGTAGCCTAGGAAACACACTTTGTTATTTGGCAAAAATAGAATCTCATTGTAAACTTCTCAGGCCAAATCCACTCCTGGTGTGGCTCAGTTGACTTCCAAATTTAAATAAAGCCTAATTCAAATTAATATTGTGATTCCAAGTGTCAGATTTTCTGACTCAGTATGTTTAATGCCAAATGTATTAAAATAAAATGTAAACTCTTGAAATGCCCATCACCAAAAAGAAGTTCTCAACCCTTTGGTTGCTGTCACCAAAATAACATAGACAAATGACAGATTTATATAGGTCCCTCCTTAATTTACAATGTTTTCTTCAAGAGAATCATCATGTCCTTTTTGGATGAAAATTCTAGAAACATTAAATTTACCATTGTGCACAGGGCCATCACAAGCCTATGCACTATTTAAGTCTCACTTTAAAGTTTCACAAAATTGGTATTTAAGTAGAGCATATATTTCTGTGGGTTCACTGCTGGGAGGTGAATTTCACCCTACAAGATGTAGGGCTGAGGTGAGGAGAAGAAGATGAAGAATTTTCACTGTTGCTGTGAAGACTTGCGCATTAAGTGCAAAATTTTCACATTTTAAAACTGCACTAATAAGACTAGCTCTTGTGGGGCTTTTTGTTTTGTTTTGTGCATTTCCATTGAATTTTAGCACCAGTATCTCCAGACAGTGGTTACTCATCAGCTCATGCAGAAGCCACCTATGAAGAAGACTGGGAAGTCTTTGATCCGTAAGTGTTAATATTTTTACTGAAACATTACTTTTATAATTTTGGGCATTGGATAAAAAAACCTTGAATTTGAGCAAGTACTTCGTCATGTTTAGAACTTGCTTGCTGTGGTGAGTTCTGTTTGAAAACTGCTAATTGTAAAACTAGTATATTGTGACTGGTGATGGCTTGTTATATTCAGTTTAAATTATTTATTTCTTAGTCTTAATTACTTTAAATTACTTTAGTTGACGTACTGTATTGTCAGTTAAGGTAATGTGAACATAGTTATACAACAAATTCTCTTTCCTTTTTAGATATTATTTCATCAAACATGTTCCACCACTAACTGAAGAACAACTTAATAGGAAGCCAGCTCTTCCACTGAAAACAAGAAGCACACCAGAATTCTCTTTAGTTCTAGACTTGGTAAATATGCATATAGACATGAGTTAGTGTAGTGGGGGAAGAGTGAATTTATGTTCCACTTATTTTGCAATTTGACACATTGGGAACATGATGCTCCCATTATTAAAAAGAGACCCTTTATTAAATGCACATGTTGAAAGACTATAAAGAATTCAAAAAGATTTTAAAAATTTCAATTAAAAAGACACCAAGTTTAAAGAAATAATTTGAGAAACTGTCACTGAGTAACAAGAAAGGAAAATTCACTGCATTTGTTGCATGATTCAACATTTTTCTTAAATATTTCAATTTTTTTTTAAATCTTCATGAACAAAAGTTAGCTGACCTCCAGAGGACCTTCCCAAAAGAGTAGTGGAGAAAATCAGATATAATAAAGGAGAAAATTCAGCATCACCTGTATTTGATCAAATACAGTACTTACAAAAGGACAAGTCTCCCAGTGAGATTCCCTTAAGTCCCAGAGGACTTTTCTCACAGAGAAGAAAGCGTGCTTTTCTTTAGAACTATTTGTTTTCACCCTCTGTTGATCCATTTTATTGTATTTAAGCAGTTATTACTGGATAATTCAGTCACTGGCTATATATAGTTGTCATTTAATGAATAAATAAGTCTAATTTTTTTAATGAAAGGGGGGAAAAAACAAATAACTTTAGGAAGACTCATTATATAACAACTAAGTTGAGATTGACATTATAAGCACTGTTTTATCATGTGCTATGTAACCTGTTATACACGGGTCATATGAATTGAATACTCATTTCAAACTGATAGGAACAGAGTTGTATTAAATAAGAGGAATTAGTTGTACCTGTAAAATCAAGATTTCTTTCTCTTGGGATTCTGTGTTAGTGCCACAGTTACAAATGAAATTCTTTTAGCTTTGCAACATTAATGAATTGTATAATATATTAATAGCTGTCTTTCAAACCGTAGCAGCAATACATTCAAAATTAAATTGACTATACTGAATTATAGAGTATATTTCCCTTCCAAAAGAACATAACGAAGCAAATAGTCTCAATTTTCAATAATCCTGTCACAAAAGCTTCTTAATTTAGTATGATCTTTTTATTTTATTTTTTCTAGGATGAAACATTAGTGCATTGTAGTCTAAACGAGCTAGAGGATGCTGCACTCACTTTTCCAGTGCTTTTCCAAGATGTCATTTACCAGGTAATTAGAAATATATAGGAAAAATGTACCTTTTTGTTTGTTTAATAGATAAAGTTATCATGCATATGTAATATGTTCTTGTCAGGAGAGAGATAAACATTGATTGGCATCTAAACAGCCATTTGAGTTACATGCTGCAGATTTGAAATTTTGAAAGGCAGGTGGTCATGTATTAGAAGTATTGTGGAGTACTTTTTATTACTACAACGTGGTAATGATGATTACTAGTAAAAATGTCAACAATGATTAGTAAGAAAATGTAAATATTCTTTTTAGCAGCAGTATTCTATAGCAGCCTTTCTCCTTACCAGCAGATGGAGGCAGGAACATTGAAAGTTCAGGCAGTATCATTTCCCATGTAATAGCTTGCCACAAACTGTTAACTTTCTTCCCTGCCTGGGGAAACCAATTCATGCTGGTTGATCATTTCTTACTGTGAAAAAGGCTAATCTTCAGAGCCTGAAGTTAACTAGCTTCTATCTAGCACCTAGTCTTGCATATCCTTTGCCGGTAACATTTCCACCTCTTCCGCCCCAGCTAGATGCTACTTGGTGATTACAGTTACTTTTGATTGTCTTGTGGAAACTGCTAGTCATTTTTCCTGCTTCAGGCAGTATTATTAGCTTTATATGTTTTACATTGACATACCATAGAGGAACAAGCATGGGAAAGAGGAGATCTGTTCCAGCAACTGCCAAAGATGCTGCACTGACCCAGGCTATTGTTCTCAGGTCCTTTTGTGTGATGTACCTGGGAGAGGCAACAGCTTCCCCTCCATGTAGTTCGCACGATATTGGACCCCTCTGTAGTATCTTTGGAGAATGAGCCAGTCATCAGGCACCTTAAAAGGACACTTGTCCAGGTATTTTTCCTAATTTTAAAAATGTTTTTCTTCATTGTTGCATATAAAACCCCTTGGAATTTTGAAACTAAAATAATTTTTTTAATGGGTTTCTTAACTTGTCTCCTATTTGGTGACTGCCATTCTCAGTTTCCTCCTGGACGAGCTGGGGAGGAAGCTTCAAATTAATTCTTTGGGGGCAAATAGATTCAAGCCTGTTTTTTCCTTCCCTCTCTGAGGCTCTCAGTATGATTTGAGTATTTCTGGCTATAACTGTGCTCTTTTGGTGATGGTGTGTTTTACTGAGTGTAGCTGAGAGCCAGCTTAGGGTCTGATCAAAAGGAAATTTAAGTCAATGGAAAGACTATCTTACAAGGTTTCTATATCTGTATTTAACAACATTGTACGTAAGCCTGTGCCTCTTTTTATCCAATCAGATGATGATGCAGTTTCATCTATTGTGCCTTAGTTATTTCCCAAGTTTAGAATTGCAAAGGAGCAGTACCTTCGCAAGGTAGACTTGATAAGGACAGCCTGTGTCTACATCAAGTATGTTGTTTTAGGATTCCTAACCATCTGTTTATTTTATTGAGGTGCTTATACACCAGACATGGCAACCCAGAAAACATTCACCTCTTGCTACATGAGGGACAATAAGCAGGAGACTAAACAGCCAAGAGTTTAGTTATAACCGTAAAACATGTAATTAACTAAGGCTATGGGTAAAAAGAGAAGTCTCCTCTTCAGATAATTGCTGAACAGAAACTGGTTAATATTACATACATTCTTAGCTTTGTATTGTAGACAATAACTCACTATTTCATCTGCTTTTGAAAAGTGATTCTTTCAATTATCAATTTGGTCATCTCCTATGCAATAGGCCCATCTGAATTTCAGTTCTCCAAACTCGCCCATAGAGTGTCATTTAAGCTTTCACTGGTGTTGTCTCCTCCTGCTGGCAAGGAGGAAGTAAATGTCTGAGCAAAAGTTGAAGACAGATTATTAGGTAAGAAAATACTGTTATGTATTTATAAACTACAATACAGTGTAGCTCATTGAAAACAATACCTGACATGTAAAATCAGTTTGTGAAGATGTTTTCTATTAGTCTCTCAACATTTAATACTTTCAGTTAGACTCTTTAAGAAATACTATGAAACTAATGATCAAAAACATGCTTAAATGTTTTTTTAAGAGAGAGTAAAACTTAGCTCAGTACTTCTTTTCCTACAGGATTTCTCCATTCTCTCACACCCCAGTTTCACTAATAATTATGCAAATGGAGATCTGGGCTTCATACCATTATTATTTCTCTACTTAACTGAAGGCCATGAACTGATACTTTTGCAGTAGTGGGAGGGTGGATGAGCAAGCAGCTTACTTTGAAGTATATTCCAAAACTGGCCAACAATGCTGCAATAATGAAGTGATTATAAGTATAGTATATATTGAATGCTACAATACTTCTGTCTCTGGAGAAAAAGAGTAAATGTTTAATTCTTTAGTACTAGTGTATGGATTTATTTTATAATGTATTAGCACTTTGTGTCAGGCACTCCCTTTTGTTACTTGGTTAAGAGGTTTGCACTGTATTTAGTTTATGCTGCAGAGCCACCAATCCTAGACACTAGGTCATCTTGCTCCTTCTTCCATCCAGAGAATACCTTCCCTTTACAAGTAGGCCTTACCCAGTCAAGAGATTTCTGTTCACTTAGTTCTTGGGCTCAACAGTCTCACTGATCTTCCTGTTTCAGCTACAGGGCCCAATAGAAGCTAATCAAAAGACATTTCACATACTCTACTCCACTGCAGCCAAACATAACTGGATTGTTCAACTTACCCCTGCCACATCCTATCAGAGTAATATCTGAGAATTTTCATTCCCCTTCTGGTGAAATGCTATCCCAGTAGTTTCTCTAAAAGAGCAACAAAACCAGCAGCCTTTGGATCAGTTGTTCAGACTTCAGTCCGTGGTAGACACCCACAAAGAAAGCTACGATCAGATTGGGATCTCTTAACCTTGATCTAATTGGACTTTTAGAACTATGTTTTTCTCACTTGGAGAGCCACAATCAACTAAGAACCTGCTGTTTCTGTTCATTTATATGATGATCTTCATCTTGGGTCTCTTACAGTTGGGTAAGATGAGTCTAGTTGCAAATCCAGAGCTGCTGAACTTCATTGACTTATAATTCCTCAGCATTTCTTTCGAGGACAGAGGAAGACGACCCCTAAAGCACTGCACAGTGATGACATCTAATTTAATATGAAATACATATCTGGAGTTCTGCTCCTGTTATGTTCTTCCTTTAGTAAAATAGCATTTTACTGATTACTTCTATTAAAATACAGGTCAAGCTGTTTATTTAGCTAGGTTGCTGTTGCTTATCCGTATAATAAGATTCCAGGATTGTCACTGTGTGTGTCATTCGGAAGCCTACAATGTCTGTTGAGTAAGTGTGAAGCAATGGAAACAGCTACAAACATGGTTGAGAGCTCTTTTGGTTTAGAATGTCACCAGGTTACCATCCAGTTTTAAAGTTCTCAGCCACTTAACTTTACGAATTACATCCATGTGAAAGCAAGGCATGTATCTATGCCATTCCAAGAGTCTCCGGCTGTTGTGACATCAGAGGTAACTGAGCCAATCACGACCCTTATGCTATAGCTAAATGCAATGCACTGGTTTCATTGGTTGTATGAGGGAGACTGTACAGATGGTGGATTACTTGGCCCAACTGTCACATCTTTGCAACAGCATGGGCTTTCAGCTACTAGTAGTCATCATCATCTGATATCTGCGTAACCAGACAGATACTTCTGTGGGACATGAAAGAAGGAAGGGAAAAATAAGTTGTTAGTTCATCTGGTATGATAAAGTCTTAATGATTGTCTAGCTAATTATGGGATTTTTATTTAGAGCTGTGTGAAAGTGTTTACTGTATTACAGAATATTTTCTCCTCCTCCTCTTGTTTGTAATAATTCCTTAGAAATTTAACTAAAATGTATGTCCTTACCAGTTTCTACCCCTCTTCTGCACAGACATTTTTGTTGTTGTTGAGCTGCTGGCATTGTTTGAAAAAACATAGTAACAATATGGAAACATTGTGGGGGCGGGAGATCCTGACGCTTCCTATGCCGTCCTCACCGGCTCCAGCGGTACCCAGGTCTTGGGGTAAGCACACCTTGGGACCTCCGTGTATGTCCCTGCCTCAGCGGCACCATTCCCCATTGTGTGGGATGTCCTGCCACCACTTGCCCGCCTGAAGCCATCACACCTCAGATAGGCAGGCTCAGCGGAGCCCTCTTTGGTCCCTGGACCTTGGGCACTGACAGCAGGATTCGAGGCGTACCTCGATGGTAGCCTGGCGCAGACCCACTGAGGCGTGCTCTCCTTTATCGTCCCCCCCTGACAGGAGCAGTGAGACTGACCCCTCGTGTCGCAGAGAGCTCGGTACAGATCCTGTGACCAATTGAGGGATCGATTGTTGAGAGACCGTTGTTGGTCTCTGAGACTGGGATCGCCGCATTCCAGGAGTTCCTCCCGGCAACCGGCACGTGATAGCTACCGGTCCCTCTCGATGTCCTGGTCAGATAGGATAAGGCGTAGATCGCCGGGTTTCCAACACCGATCCGCCAAACACTGTCCGTCCCCAAGGTCCCGACCAAGATGGTAGTCTCGCTGTAAGCGAGGACTGGCCTGCCTCCCAAGGTCTGTGAGAGTGAGGGATCATTTTCCAGGATAGGTTGATCGTGGATAATGCGCTGGAGAGGTTTTAGCTGGGGGCTGTATGTGATGGCCAGTGGTGTTCTGTTATTGTCCTTGTTGGGCCTGTCCTGTAGTAGGTGATTTCTGGGTACCCGTCTTGCTCTGTCAATCTGTTTCCTCACTTCCCCAGGTGGGTATTGTAGTTTTACGAATGCGTGATAAAGATCTTGTAGGTGTTTGTCTCTGTCTGAGGGGTTGGAGCAAATTCGGTTGTATCTTAGGGCTTGGCTGTAGACAATGGATAGTGTGATGTGTCTTGGATGGAAGCTGGAGGCATGTAGGTACGTATAGCGGTCAGTAGGTTTCCGGTATAGGGTGGTGTTTATGTGTCCAGTCCTCGCTTACAGACAACCCCCCAACCTGAAGCAAATACTCACCAGCAACTACAC